GATGATTTCGATGCCAACAAGTAATGGTTGGTGGTGGCAGTAAGAGATAGATATTGATAGCTTTTGAAATTGTTAAGTCTTTTGGTTGATTTCTTTTTAGAGAGAAAAGAGTGGTTTGTTAGGTATTTAAAATTATTAAATTTTGGTAAAGGTTATTTGTAAACTTTTAAAATTTAACGAAAACATTTAAATCTTGGGCAAATAATTAATAAAACAAATTTTAAGGAGGTTAAGTGTCACTTTTTAAACGTTATGAGCCACAATAAATCTACCTCAAATCATAAAGTAATTTTATGTAATTTGCCTTTTATAATTTTACTTCTATTTTTATCAGATGAAACCTTAGTCTCCTCTAATTTACCCTATTTGTCATAGCCTAATCCTTATGGCCTTACCACATTATAGATCTCTTGACTCCTCTAATAGTAGGCATTTGACAGCCAGTAACCATCCAGTGCCCCCACTAGTGACCATTGACCAACACACCACCAACTAGGATTTCACCCTTTCCTTTTTTAAGTTTCGATTTCTTCTTTTTTCTATTCCTCTGAATCACAACTTAGCTTGTAACAATCACAAATCAACTTCACCACCATCGACAAATGGTCATAAGTTCTGTTTTCTTCCTCCATGGCTCCATCAGCAAATCCTGCACCAGTGAAGGACTGAAGGTTGCTCACTATTAAAGGTTAGTGGCCTAAATAGCCAAATAGCTAATTTTTTTGTATTATTTGCTTTATTTGCTTCATTTTACTTTTACATACTATTTATTCTACTTTAGAATTATTCTAATATAAAACATTAATTGTAAGATTCTATTGTTAGGTTCTGCTTTATTAATGTACTGCTTTAGGTTTTATTGTAAGGTTTTATTTTAACATGTTGATTGTTGAATATTGGTGAACATTAGGTAGAACCGAGATAACAGACCATAACCAACGATTTAAATCAGTTCAGTTACTTTCAATTATCATTAGTTTCAATGATTGGTTTGGTTTTTGATAAAATTAAATCAATTAAATTAGTTTTTAAAATTTGGCAATCGAATTAATTAATATGATCAAATGCTCTCTACTATAGTAGCTTGTTTATGCTAGATGTAATTAATTAATTTATTTGATATTGATTAAGTATTAAATTAATCGAGCCAATTACCAATTTGATAAGTTAATACTAACTTTACAATTAAAGTATTAACCTAGCTATCAAGATATAATACTCCTTCAATCTTAAATTTTTTTAATTGTTATTGATTTTTATAAGTTTAAGAAAAAAATTTAAAATTAAATTTTAAAATTTTTTATAAAATTAAAATTTTATGATTTTTAATGTCAAAAAGTAAAAAAAAATCATGAAAATAATTTTAAAATATAAAACAATAGTTTTAAAATGTTCTAAGAAAAAAGGAAAGAAAACATATTTTGAGACATAAAAAAAAAGTGGAAAAAGAAAATATGATAGAGGGAGTACTTGTATAACTGAGGATTTTTTATGTTTAACATTATTTCATTTTTAACAAATACTAATAATAATCTAATTTCCTATTCAAATTTTAAAAAGAACATATTCATCTTTAAATTTTTTTATAAAATTAAAGTTTCATTATTTTTAATGTAAAAAATAATAACAATAATAAAAATAATTTTAACATATAAAAGTAAGAGTTTTAAATCTTTAAAAAATAAAGAGGACATAATTTGGAACATTCGAAAAAAGATGGAAAAAAAATGGAACATAGGGAGTACTTGGATAACTAAAGATTTTTATATTTAATATTTTTCTATTTTTAACAAATACTAATAATAATCTAATTTCCTATTTAAAATTTAAAAGTAGCATACTTTTTCTAGAGAAGAAATAATAAATATTAAATTTTTTTTATAAAATTAAAATTTCATAATTTTTAACGTTAAAAAGTAAAAAAAAAAACTCATAAAAAATAATTTTAAAATATAAAAGGTAAGAGTTTTAAATGTTCAAAAAAAGAAAAACCACATAATTTTGGAATATCATAAAAAAAAGAACGGTTAAATATATATTTGATCCCTGAACTTTTATATTTTTTTATCACATTGGTACCTAAAGAATTATAGCTATCAAATTCATACCTAAACTTTCAATGTGTTATAATGTTGGTACCTTATTTAAAATTTTTTAAAAATTATAAAAATTTAATAAATTTAAAAAAATTTAAAAAAATACTAAAAATACTAAATTTTTTTTTAAATTCTAAAAATTTTAAAATAAATTGAAAACATTTTAGAATATTAAAATAATTTAAAAAATTCAAAACAAAAATCTAAAAAAATTCTAAAATTTTCAAAATTTCTAAAATAATTTTTAAAATTCTTAAAATTTTATAAAAATTTTATAAAATTTTATAAAAATTTTAAAAAACTAAAAAAAAGATTGTAAAAAAAATTTCAAAGAATTCTAAAAGTTTTAAATTTTTAAAAAAAATTCTAAAAGATTTTAAAAAATTTTCAAGAATGAAGGAAACTTAAAAATTTTCAAAAAATCTTAAAATTTATAAAAATTCCAAAAAATTTCAAAAAAATACAAAATACAAAAAATGATGATTTTATTAAAAAGAAAATTTTTAAAAAATTTTTAAAAAATTCACAAAAATTTACAAATAGTTAAAATTAAAAATTAAAAATTTTTCAAAAAATAAAAATTATTAATAAAATACTAAAAAATTTCCATATTTTTTTAATATTACAATTTTAACTTTTTATGTATTTTTTCAATTTTTAAATTTTTTTTAATTTAATATTTATTTTTAGATTTTTTAATTCTAAAGAATATTTCAAAAAATTGAAATTATTTAAATTTCAAAATATTTTAAAATATTTTAGATTTTTTTTATTTTTTAGTTTTTGTGATTTTTTAAACTGTAGAAAATTAATTTAATTTAATTTTCATTTTTTTCATTTTTATTAAGATTTATAGAATTTATAGAATTCTTGAAATTATGATAATTTTTATAATTTATAAAAATTTTTCATACTTCATATTGTAATTTTTAAAAATTTGGAAAATTTTTAAAAATGTTTTAGAATTTTTAAGAAAATTTTATTTTTTTTAGAAAATTTGAAAAAATTTGAAATTTTTTAAAATTATCTATTACTATTTGAAAATTTAAAATATTTTATAAAATTTATAAAATTTTAAAATTTTTTTAGAATTTTTTTGTAATTTTTTCAAAAAATATTTTAGAATTGTTTTGAAGTTTTCAAAAGTTTTTTTGAAAGTTTTAGAAGTTTTTAGAAAATTTTCAAAATTTTAGAAATTTTAAAAAATTTGTAAAAAAATTTTAGAATTTTAAAAAAGTTTTTAGTATTTTTGAGTTATTTTTTAAAAATTTGAAAATTTTTGAATTATTAAAAATGTTTTAAAAATATTTTGAAAGTTTTTAAAAAATTATATTTTATATTAATGTGACATTAATGATATGATACTGATTAGATTTTTTTGACATATGTCAATATTTTATTAAATATTTATGCCACATAAATTAAATTAATGAATGACATTAGTCGTAAGCATCAACGTGGCAACAGAAGGAATGTTAAGATACAAATGTGGTAGCTATAATTTTTAAGGTACTATTGTGACATAAAGTATAAAATTTAAGAATTAAATATGTATTTAACTCCAAAAAATAGGTAAAAAAAAAAAGATGAAGAGAGTATTTGAATAACTTAAGATTTTTTATATTTGACATTATCTTATTTTTAACAAATACTAGTAATCTAATTTCTTATTCAAATTTTAAAAGTAACATACTTTTTTGAAGAATAAATAACACATTAAATTTTTTTATAAAATTATAATTTCATAATTTTTACTATCAAAAAATAAAATTTTCATAAAAATAATTTTAAAATATAAAAAATAAGAATTTTAAATGTTAAAAAAAAGAAGACATAATTTTAGAATATAAAAAAATGAATAAAGAAAATGGGATAGAAAATTGAAGATTTTTTTATATTTAACATTATACTATTTTTAACAAATATCAATAATAATAAAATACTTTTTCTAAAGAAATAACACATATTAATAATTTTTATATTGAATTAAATCTTATAATTTTTAATGTCAAAAAGTAAAAATAATTATAAAATATAAAAATATTAATTTTAAATATTATAAAAGATATAATTTTAGTACATCCAAAAAATTATAAAAAAATTAAAAAGTGTACTTTAGAGAAATTTTATATTTAACATATCCTTTTTTTTAACAATAATAACGTAATTTCCTATTCAAATTTTAGAACTTTATTTGAAGAAGAAATAACACACGCCAAATGTTAAGGGTGTACATAATTTGGTTTTAACCAATTAATCGACTGAAGTGATTTGATTTGGTTATTCGGTCAGTTATCGAATTAATTTCAGTCGATTAACGAAAATAATTTTAAAAAAATTTTGATTTTTAATTAATTTGGTTTGAAAATCGAATTAATTAAAATTTTAATAGAAATATAACATAATCCAAATATAAAATGAAAAATATATAAAATAGATCACTTAATTTATAACTTGTTAAAATTTTTAACATAATACTTTAATATTTAAATATTTTATTGAATAATTTTATTTAATTTGTTTAAAATATAAAAAATTAAGAGTTTAAAATATAATTTAATTTAAATATATTTATTATTCGATTAATTAAAAAATTAATCAAACTGATTGAATTACAATTAATCGATTAAATTTTGAAATTCTTAAATTTAATTCGATTAATAAAATTAAAATAATTAAATTTAATTTTAGATAATTTAATTTAAAATTAACCACACCGATGTAACAAAGGTTATAACTTGAAAAGTTGCTCTGGGCCTCAGCTGCATAATTGCCTACCCAAAACCAAATTACCACTCAGTTGAAACGATTCACACAAACGACGTCGCTTCGAAATTAAGCCAATCAAGAGTAGCCGCGTGGAGGCCGTTGGGAGCTTGAGTTTTATTTATTTATTTATTTTCCTCCGGTGCAAAAAAAGCAAGTAACTCTCGTTGTCGTTGCCATCGCCCTTTCAAGTTTCAACTGTGGAACTGGATCCTCTATGCGTATGAATCCATTTCCCGTTTGATTTTGATTTCGTTTTTTGTTTCGTGTAATCGTGGATTTGAATACAAATTGAAATTGAAATTCTAGCTTGGTGGTTGGATAAAGATTGGGACTGACTGGAAATTAAAGAATGGCGGCCCAAAACCAGAGCGATCTGTTCGATGCTTATTTTAGGAAAGCGGATTTGGACGGCGACGGCCAGATCAGTGGAGCCGAGGCTGTTGCCTTTTTCCAAGGCTCCAATTTGCCCAAACAAGTTCTCGCTCAGGTCATTTCTCTATTTCCTTTTATATTTCTCCTACATATGGCAACTTACTTTTCTTCTTTGGGGGCTCCAGAGGCGTAGATCAGATTCGAGTTTTTCATTCCGCCATTTTTACGTTGTTCCTCTTTAATTAGGTTTATGTGCTATTAAATTATTGAAAATTTGGACTACATCAGATTTGGCTCTAATCAATCGATTAACTGCTCAATGGAATCTTTTTGGATTTCTTTTTTTTTTTTTTTTGATTCAGTTGTTGTTCCATTTGTTTATTTTGGATGTTGGCTAATATAATCTGATTGAGGCAAAGGAGAACGACGAACACTGAATTGACATATGGGTGACACTAAGCTTAACAATCTAATCTGATTTGAATTCGTAATTGATAGTGATTATGAATTTGTTAAAATCTGAAACACGAAAGCATGGGGTTCAGTATATTGTTTCATATCTCTTTTTTTTTTCCCCGGATAATTCTTTTATCTGTTTGGTTTTGAAAACATTTATGTGGAAACATAGTTTTTATTGCAGTCAGTTGAGTTTTTGTTTATGCTTCTGTTCCGTGCAGGTGTGGATGCATGCTGACCAGAAGCAACTAGGTTATCTTGGTAGACAAGAATTTTATAATGCCCTTAAACTTGTAACTGTGGCACAAAGTAAGCGAGAACTGACACCAGATTTGGTAAAAGCTGCACTCTATGGTCCTACTTCAGCTAAGATTCCTGCTCCCCGGATAAACCTTGCAGCTACAGCTACACCACAGTCTAATGTAGCAGCAGTTACTTCGCAGTCCAGCGGCACTATATCAGTACCATCCCAAAATTTTGGCCTCAGAGGGACACCTGGTCTTGGCAATGTGGGTGTAAATCAGCAGTATGTCCGATCACAGCAAAACCAGGTTGTGAGGCCACCTCAAGCCATGCTTTCAAGCACTTCATCACAAACACAACAAGTACTTGCAGCGCAAGGCATGCTGAGGGGAGGTAACATGGTGGCTCCTCCTCATCTTCCTGCTTCAAACTCCTCAACTAATTGGCAAAGTGGAAGCTCGGGTGGCCTCACAGCGGGTGTTAAAGACCAAGTTCATAACCGAAGTGTTAGTCCTTCTGCAAGCCAAGATGGATTTGGACTTACAGCTTCAGGTTTGACACCTTCTATGCAACCAAGACCTCAAGCAACCGCTGTGCAGATATCTTCTACTGCTCCAAAACCACAAGATTCATCCATACCATCCAGCCAGTTAGTGGCAAAGGATCCCAAAACATTGATGGTTTCGGGAAATGGGTTTGCCTCTGTCTCCCTTTTTGGTGACGTCTTCTCTGCTACTTCATCACAATCAAAGCAAACTTCTTTGGCGACCACATCATCTGCAACTAGCTCTACTGTCTCAATGGACTCTATTCCTGCTTCTGGGCCCCATCCTTCTGTAAAACCAAGCCAAGCTGAGTCTTTACAGAGTACACTTTCTCAACAACCTATGGGTGGTCAGTATCATCCGGGTCATCCAACAGGGAAACAGAACCAGCATGTTGCAGTTCAAAGCAATGCTGTGTCTGGTTCAACTGGGTTTCCTGCTGGACCTGGGAACATGGCTTCTGGTCAATCAACTCAGTCTCAGGCCCCATGGCCAAAGATGACTCAATCTGATGTACAGAAGTATACAAAAGTATTTGTACAAGTTGACACTGATAGAGATGGGAAAATCACTGGTGATCAGGCCCGCAATCTGTTCTTAAGCTGGAGGCTCCCAAGAGGTAGGCTATGAGTGATTGTTAGCTTTTGTTTATCTACTACTAGCTCAATTGTGTTGGTTAAAATATATTTGTTTTTGAAGTTTATGGTGATAGTTCTATAGATGACGTGGTCTCTACATGGATATAACTGGTAGATCACTTAGCTTATATTTTATTTTAGTTACTTTTTGAACAGCTATTAATAGTCTTAAATACTTCTAAAGATGAGATTCTATTTTCTATTTTAACTGACCAATTTATATAACTTTTTTCAAAGTACCTTTATTCTCGGTGACTATTCACCGAGCTTATGTAGAGTGAATGTCTCCTTGTGAAATCTTGAAACATATTTTTTAGCATCTTGAGAATTTTATGGCTGGTATTAATAGAAATGAACTAAAAACCCTGATGAAACCATGAAGAAACATGGTAAAAAATGAAAAAGGAAAATTAAGATAGTGATATCAAGGGAAAACAAGAGCTCATGTTGAAGTAATAGGGCCCAAGCCAATAGGTCAGAGAGAAGCAGAGTTTTGCAGTATTTTTTTCTTTGTTTCTTTTGAAATTTCCAAAATGAAGAATAAAGAAATATTAAAAATTGCATTGCATGAATTCTTAAACACGTGATAGCCAGGTAGGGTGGTTGTGAAATGATGACTTCTACTACTGAATACTGATCAATGAAATGTTAATCCATATCATTGTTCTTTATTGCAATTAATTTTAAATACCAAACTACTGTATTCATTAAGTATACAAGTGTTACACCAGGTTATATGTAATTCTAAGAAGGAAAAGAGACGAAAAGTTAAAAAGAAGGCCAAAGTCATTAGAGATTTGGTGAAACAAAATTGGAGGTTTTAGATTTATTTTCTATTTAAAGAGTTTTTCTGTCTCTTTCATTTCCAGTAGTAGTTTATGGATTTGCTATTCTTCTCTCTCTCTCTCTGTTCTTTTTTTTTCTAATTTGCTCCCTCCCTCATTCTAAAGATAACCTAATCTTTTTGGTTTACATCAATCGATTTTGATTGTTAGAAATGTTATTGATTTACGGTGTTGTTTGGTAAATCATTGAAAACATCAATCTTCAATGATTTTTTCCTATGCATTGGGCTACTTAGTTTGAAACCATTTTAACAAAATATTTTCAATGAAAAAGTGTTGAAAAAGTTCCGTAGTTGAAACCTACTTAGTTCATTTGGTCTATGCTATTTAAATTCTTTTTTTTTTTTTTCATTTTACTACATTAACCATTTGCTCTTTCCTTTTTGCTTTATGTTTTTTCTTCTGAATTCTTATTAGATGTCAGCTTTTTATAAAATCCTATAACTTTCTTGCATTGATAAACATTTTTGTGTTTCTTTTAGAAGGCAATTGCTGTGCCACTTTATGACATAATCATCATTCTGATATTACTTATTGGTGTTTCAGAGGTCTTAAAGCAGGTGTGGGACCTATCTGATCAAGATAATGATAGCATGCTCTCTTTTAGAGAGTTTTGTACTGCTCTTTATTTGATGGAACGCTATAGAGAAGGCCGCCCTCTTCCTTCAGTGCTTCCGAGTACTATCATATCTGATGAAACTCTATTGTCCGCCTCAGGTCATCCTCCAGCACCATATGGAAATGCAGCGTGGGGACCTGCTCATGGTATCGTTTCCGTATTGTGTCATATTTATGCAGTATTTTGCTGTTCTATACTTTTCTTCCTGGATCACCTCCCTTTATCAAAATATCTCCAACAGGTTTCCAGCAACCACAAGTTATCAGTGCTTCGCGGCCACCTTTACCTCTTGCTAGGGGAAGACCACCAAGGCCAGTGTCAGTTCATCAGACTGATGCACAGGTGCTGCCCACTCAACCAAAGTCCAAGGTTCCAGTGCTGGAAAAGAACCATGTAGATCAGCTTAGCCAAGAGGAGCAAGATTCCCTCAACTCAAAGTTCCAAGAGGCAACAGAAGCAAATAAAAAGGTACTTCCTCCTTTTGTCTGTTTTTGCCATGTTCTAGTATTGCACAAATGTGGAATTTATTGTAACACCACCACCCCACACCCTTTCTGACTTTTGATTCTTTTTGTATTTAATTGCCATGACATTTGTTTTATTTTTATTATTCTTTCTGCCCAATCAATTCTGTAAATGACACCATATCGCGATTATGGCCATCATGCACAAGGTTGGATAGTATATCATCATTTTACCTGTTTTAGAGAGACAGTTAGAGTCACTGAGTGTATGTAATAGGTTGTGAAATGTGACAAAGTATAAACAGTTCAATTTATTTTCTTCTGAGGCTCTATTTTCTTGTAAATGTCTAGCATTGTCTTCTCTGGAAATTTATGTGAATCCAGCCTCACTCTTTTTTTTTTTTTTGAAGGTTGAAGAACTGGAAAAGGAGATACAAGATTCAAAAGCGAAGACTGAATTCTTTCGTGCTAAGATGCAGGAACTTGTGAGTATGCTCCTTTTGTCGTTATGATTAGAAAACTGACTGCAAGTCCCTTCATCATTCCAACTATTGTTGACTTCTATGGGATTACCCAAACCCTAATCTAATGGTATGCTAGTTTGATAAAGTCATATGAATGCCTTAGGTGGGAATTATCTTTGAACTATATTGTTGTTAAAATGTATATCTTTTGGTTTCTTTGATGTTGGATCTTCAGACCATTAATTTATTGCCCTTTTCATTTCCATTTGTCACCGCTTGGCAATAGATTTTATATAAAAGCAGATGTGACAATCGACTTAATGAGATTATGGAAAAAGTCTCTGCTGACAAAAGAGAGGTACTTTGTTTTTTATTTATTTATTTTTTATTTTTCATGTTCACAATTCAATTCTACTTTCTATGTGAATTTTTGTTGTTGGGAAGCTGAATTATTCTGTGTTTCAGGTTGAAGCATTGGCAAGGAAGTATGAAGAGAAATACAGGCAGTCTGGGGACGTAGCCTCTAGATTAACCATTGAGGAGTCCACATTTCGTGATATTCAGGTATGTAGGAATTTCCTATGTTTTTGAGTGATAGCAAATGTGTGATTGGCTTGATAGGTATGCTTGAATTTCCTTGTGCTGAAAATTTTCTAATGCTTTGTTTTCGGTAGAACTTTCTGTTAGACTGACTTGAATCACTTGCAGGAGAAAAAAATGGAATTGTATCAGGCAATTGTCAGAATAGAACAAGGGGATAACAAGGATGGTGCTTTCCAGGTATACTCTAATTTTAATTAATTAGATTTAGTCATGGAGACTGTGAAACTTGTCAGTAAAAGCATAATTTCTGTTGGCTTGTGCAGGATCGTGCTAATCATATACAATCAGGTCTTGAGGAATTAATGAAATCTGTTAATGAACGGTGCAAACAATATGGATTACGTGCTAAACCGACTTCACTGGTTGAGCTTCCATTTGGTATTATTTTCACTTAGTATATGTTTGTTATATTTATTATATGACATCTGGGCTTATTTGGTTGACCAATGTACTTCTTCCTGCCCGTTCTATGATCTTTCCTGCCAAGAAAGTTCCTATTCAGAAATAACTTCTGCAGAAGCTATTTTTGCAATTTTCTGTTTAAGCTACTGTTCTCAATCTCCTCAGGAAAGTGTTGTGATATTGATATAATCGTGTTTCACTTTTTAGTTTCCTTCTCATATGAATCTGTGTTTATCTGAAAATGCTTGTAAGGTACCTCTCATTTTTCTTTTTTTGATCCAGTAAATTCAAGGTATCTAGATAGCTTTAATTGGTTTTGTTTTCTGAACCAGACTACATTTTTTTCTCTTTGAAGACTTTATTATCGAACTAATCTCATGTATTTTTATAGAAGCATATACCTGAAAGATTTTTCACTTTCTTGTCAACTTTTCTAAGGCTGGCAACCTGGAATCCAAGAAGGTGCAGCTGATTGGGATGAAGATTGGGACAAGCTTGATGGCAAAGGTATGTGCCTGTAGGGCTTTTATATCTTTTAATGTCCAACCTATAGTGTTTGGTGAACCACATTCAATAATGGATTTTGCATTTCCTTAACATAATGTTACTCATAATGTATAGAATTTGATATGGTGCTTTTTTCTAAATATAGTGCAATCTGTAGACAATTCTGATGAATTATCAATTAATTCTCCTTGTAGGATTCTCATTTGTAAAGGAGCTCACACTTGATGTACAAAATGTCATAGCCCCTCCAAAACCAAAATCTTCGTTGGTTAAAAAAGAAACAGCTTCTGCAGCTACTCCTGATTCTAACTCAGACAAGGTTCCTGATACAAGTGAAAGGATCCCTGAGAAAGACATGGCCAATGCCAAAAGTGAGAATGGCCTGGCAAAAAGTCCATCTGGAAGTCCAGCTGTTACAGCAGATAAGCAATCTCAAGAATTCCAGGATTCCCATGTGATAAAAAGTAGTGATGCTGATGGTTCTTCCGATGCTCAGCAGACAAGTGATCCTTACGAATCTCCCCATGCCAAGAAAACTGCTGATGCTGATGGCTCACCTCTTGCTAAAGAATCCAGAAGGTGTGTTGTTTAGTTTGCAATTTTCAAACTATTTTTCCTCCCTCTGTTTTCTGCAGGGATTTTTTTTTTTCCTTTTTTCTTTCTTTAAGTCTTTGATGTTTAGTTTAAGGTGTCTTGACTAATTGGTAATTTACTTGTACAGTGATCAGGGTGGTGCTGAATCTTTATTTTCTGAAGACAAGAGTTTTGATGAACCTAGCTGGGGAAAATTTGATACTCAGTATACAGATTCAGTTTGGGGCTTTGACAAAGAAGGTGGCAAGGTAAGCAAATTTTTAATCTTGTAGCACTCATTCAGATTAGATTGCATGTGGTTTTTTTCTTAAGTCAAATTAAGAGATTGAAACCTATCTTGGGTTTTCTTAGTTACTTATTTGTTTCAGTTTTCTACTGTCAATGAAAAAAATTATGTTTCACTTATGATCGAAAAATTTATTGCTTGGTCTTTTGGCCTGGGCTGAGTAGTTTATTAAAGGAAACTTTATATTATTTTATCTCTTTCCTTGGATGTCAAGGTTTTATTGTTTGTCTTGATTTCAATCTTTTCCCAAATGGATGTTTGTTTCTTGAAAAGATTGTCAGAATTGTATTGAGAATCACAAATTGGTCTAAAGAAAACTTTTCTTGCAGGAGATGGATCCTGGGAGGCATGATGATAACTCTATATTTGGTCTTGGTGACTTCAATATAAAGCCCATAAAAACGCAGTCCTCACACACACAAAACTTGTTCCCAGGGAAAGGCTCGTTTACTTTTGCAGATTCTGTTCTGAGCACCCCTGCCTACACAGGTGACATGTTCCATGGGAAAAGCTCATCTATTTTTGCAGATTCTGTTCCGAGCACCCCGGCTTATACAGATAACATGTTCAAGGGGAAGAGCTCATCTGTTTTTGCAGATTCTGTTCCAAGCACTCCTGCCTATGCAGATAACATGTTCAAGGGGAAGAGCTCGTCTATTTTTGCTGATTCTGTTCCAAGCACCCCTGCTTATCATCATGGGAGTTCCCAGCAGAGTTTTAGTGAAGGATCAGAATATCACTCATTTGACAGCTTCTCTAGGTTTGATTCTTCCAACATGCAAGACAGTGGATTCTTTCAATCCCCGTCCCTCGATAGGTTTGATTCCATTCGCAGCTCAAGAGACTCTGATCAGGGTTATGGGTTTCCCCCATTGATGTTTGATCAACCTGACAGCGGGCCGCTCCAATCTCCACAACATTCGTTAGCGAGGTTTGATTCCATGCGAAGCACTACAGGCTTTGATCATAGTCACGAGTTCCCATCATTTGATGATACTGATCCATTTGGGTCAACTGGGCCATTTAGGACATCACTGGAAAGTCAGACCCCGAGGAGAGATTCTGATAATTGGAATGCTTTTTAGTCAAGTAAAAATATAAAAATGCAGACAAATTGGCTGTTCATCTTTTCATGTTAAGCATTCTAGGTCAAGATTTTGCTCTCTTGTGTGGCGGCCTGATTCTTTCATTAGTATATAGTAACTGATAAGAAGTGATTGTGCCATGTATAATTCGCCGGTGTGATTTTGCAAATGTCTTTTCTTCCCCTTTCTGTAACTTTATACCGTAGTTCATTTTCTTTCCTTTTGCCTTTTTGCTTCATTTTTTTTTGGGGTTACTCTGGAGGACGCTCGTAATATTCTTCTTTCCAAATAGTTTGTATAAACTCATTTCTCGTGCAGTGTTCCGGAATTTTTTTGCTTCATATTTGCTGAATGTTTCTCCCGTGGTAGTGGATGATTTTGTGCGAGTGACCCACTTACACAAATGGCGACTTGAATTTATCTAATTTATTATAGCATTCTTCTGTTCACATGCCAATTGCAAGTTGTAATTGCTTGTTACAAGCATTCGCGGAGGGCGGAGGGGGGGGGGGGTGGTGGGGCTTGGCTGTTGCAGCATGGGAATGGATAGAGAACATGCAAACTACAGTCCAATGTAAGAAATCATCCAACCAATCTGAAATGCTATGCTAGTATATGATACATGTGACAGAAGTGGACTGCATTCTTTTCTACCACAGTTGATAAACAACTGGACACTGAACATAGAATCAAGTCTCCCTCGGCATGAAATAAGATTGGTTTCTGTTGAAATCAGGCATCGGCTGCCAAAAATCTCCGTCTAGGAAAACCAGTCACACCAACCATTGTAGTAGTACCATCCAACATCAATTCATTCCACCCTAACACCTCTTTGAACACCATAAATTAAAATGAAACAAATTACCACCCCAATAGCTGCAAAGATCAACCACGCATTTGGCAAAGATATTCTATAAGGAGCCAAATGTGTTAGAGCCGAAATGCATTTCAACCCCAACTGAAAAGGAAACCAGCCTATATGTATATAATATATATATATATATAGAGGCTGGTTTAGCAATAAAACTAGACATAATAATTTGTATATCATATCATATCTGTTTCATATCAAATATATATAAAATATGATATAAAAATTATTATGTCAAATTCGTATGAAATATATTTTTTAATTTGTCAAATTTATATATAATTTTTACTAAAATTTTAAATTATATATATATATATATATTTGTATCTTATTAACAGAGAAGGCAAAAAAACTCGAAACTGACGAGTTTCGATCCGACCTGATCTTTTACGGTCAGTTTTTTTTTTTGAAAAGTCGGGTATCGGTTTGGATTGGAATGAGTGGCATGAAAAAAAATCGGAGTCGGATTGGGTCGGGTTTTAGGCAAACCCGATTCTACCCGACTCGATATATATATATAAAAATAATTTTTAATTATTTATTTAATTTTATAATTATTTATATATATTTTTATATATATTTAATTTTATATTTATATTAAAAATAATATTTTATTAATTTCGGATCGAATTAAGTTGAATATGATTTTATATAATGTCAGATCGGATCGGATTCGAATATAAAAATAATAAAAAATTATCGAATCGAGTCGAATTCAAATTTTACATGTTTAATATCGGATTGAATTTGGGACGAACAAAAATCCCACCCGACTCGCCCTTTACCGTCCAACTTATTAACTAGGAAACCTACAATCATCATGATTTAAATGAAGGGAAGATTTCATTGTTTTTTAATCACTTCCTACAAAGGATGTAGAGCTTCTCATAGTCACTAGAAAGCGTATCAACAGCAAATCCACTAACTGTTTCTATATGAGAAGTTTTCTTGCGAAAAAGATTAAAATAAGTCCGCCTATCTTGAAGCTTTAGGTCTGTAAACAACTTGAACAAGAAGCAGGATTGAATCCAGCGTTTATCCAATCAATATCCTACCATGACTATCGTACCAGTAGGTTAGGTTTCCTTTGAGGTAAATACCCGTCTGCCTCTTTCTGGAAGATAGGGTCAAGAGAATTTTGTCCATCATCGTTTACATTCTATTCCAAGATGCACATGCACATCAGTTTTTAAACTGGCTTCTAGCATTTTCTCTTTTTGTTCTAAGATATTTTTAAGAAGCAAAATATTATGTGGCTTACACTAAGTACCAATTTGCAGAAATTTCCATGAGCCTCATGGAGATTTCCTGCAACTTTTTGCAGGACTTGCAGAGATTACAAATTTGCTCCTGATTTGCTGAATTTGAAATTTCATCAACTGACATGTGATGAGGTTGGTTCTTAAATGGATCCATCAGGTGTCCAATTATGCTCATATGCGGATAACAACATCAACCTCAATTGCCATTCTGGTCCTGCTATCTGCATATGTCTTTTTCCAAAGTCGAATTCAGCCGGTGTTTAAGTTCATTAAGACTTAAACACCAACCTATGCTCTTCCCTACATTAAGGAAGCATTTTCTACGAGATCTAAATACCAAATTCCTCTTCAAATCTTAACAACCCCAACCTGAACGCCATGATTTAGCCATTTGAAGCAGTGCTAAATTGTATAAAAAAGAAAGAAAGAAGTGCACAATGAAAAGTTATGAAATACACCAATTTCTGGATGAATTCGTACGTAGGCAAATTTTATTATTTTCTCCTCAATCCTCAGTGTGGAATTTAACTGATATTCTACGGACAGTCGTTGTTAATATGGCAAAAACAAATTCAGACATTGGACGCAAAAATTTCCATCAGAGAAGACGAGGTTCCGGAGACTGCCATAATCACACCTAGAACCACAATAGCCGCATCCAAAATCAATCCATTCCAGCCTAACTCGTTCTTGAATACCATCAAATGAAAGGAAGCAGGCAACACAAATCCCAGAGCACAGCACACACTACTGCCCACAAGAGACAGGAAATCTGCAAAATTGGGGACCAGCAGAGCGACCAAGCTCACTCCAAGAACCACTACCCACCTCAGCCACAAGCAGTACCTAGAATCACAGAATCGCCTCTCAACCACCTCATAAACCGGGTTCATCATCAATGGGAACGTAAAAAACAGGTTGATACAGAGACCCAGCTGCACCACAGTGCTTACTAACCCTCCTCCCATGTTGGTAGTGACTATATCTTTGGTTTCATCACCAAAAGCAAAGTATCCCAAAAATCCAAATGCTCCATACAGCAAAGAAATGAATGCCATGCAAAAGCCCAACACTTTCCCAAACTTGTCTTTGTATTTAGCCTCTAATTCCAATGGCAATATCATTCCAACTCCTTCAAAAGAATAAACAGCCACACCCAGACCGTAAAAGAATACAGAGAAACCACCAAAAGCCTTCAACACCGGCCTATTCTTCATGAAAAACAACACATCCTCAACCATCACCACTCCGATAACTCCAAGATCTACAACATCTGCAAAGATACTCAAAGGAGCCAAATGCGTCAATGTTGCAATTGAATTCAAACCTAACTGGAATGGAAAACAAGCCCACAAATACATAGTCTTTGGACTGAGCCCCAGAAAACTGGTATGATTATCAGCATTAAAAACATAGGCTAAAGTGTTGGCAATAAAAATGAGGTAACTAACACAGAAGCCAGCTTGGGCAAGAACTATCATGACATCAACCGCAAAGCGACCGAGGGGGCCACAAACCATGAAGCCAAGATCACCAAAGGAGTTGATCTTGGAGAAGCCATGGAGGGACTCCAGCTTACGGCGAGTAAAAACCAAAAGCATCATGCAGTAATAGGTTAGGAGGGCGACAGAGAAGAGCATAAGAGAGCCCATAAGCCAACCCGTTTTCTTGAAGGTATAAGGAAGGCCGAGAACTCCTGCTCCAACTATAGCAATGAAGATGTTGGCAAAGGTCTTTGACTGGGAAGAGAGTTGGCGTGGTTGGCCCAACAGGGGGGTGTCTTCTCTTGGTAGGGGTGGCGCTTGTATCACATGCGAGGATGAGCTTGCTTCCTTATCAAACCCCATATCTGGACTAAAATCTGATGTCCTATCGGGAATGATGTTTGTTTGATTTTGAGGAAAAAGTTGCAGCACAAGATTGGATATGTAGAGTTGTTGCAGAGGCAGAGTCGTTTCTTGTTTTCTCAGACGGATGAGATGCGAGGTTTAATTTCTACGAGGAAATGGGGTGTTGTTTCACTTGCTTCTTAAATAGAGACCACAGCCCGTCGGTACAAATTGACTGCAATTCTAACTTTTAATACTGCAAGTTGGTGGATAATCGTGCCGGTTGATACAATCATGAAAGAGAAAAGCTTCTGTAATTAGTAGTATTATATTCAAATGAAGATAATTGTGCAACTCACCAGTTCATTTAACTTTGAAGAGCAAATCAACGTATCTAAAATAATCTAGGGTAGGTTAAGAGTTTTTTTTCTTTTGTCGTTTTTCATAGGTACCTTTTGCCAACTCAACTCAAATGCACATGAGATGAAAGAGCAGAGTTGTTGTGTCGTCTGTTGTGTTCACCGTAACTAAAAACGTAGAAGGAAAGCGGATAAGCCACGCCAACTATCTAATCTTCAACCGTTGAAGGGGTGTGCGTGTGTGTACACAAGTTAAAGTTTAACACGGCAAATGAAAAGGAGAAGTCACCTATCTTCACTGTCGGTTTGCCGCTTCCAAAATAATTACTTCTTTCTAGCTTGTACGGATGATGCTATCGGGTTTATGCTGATGCTTGAGCTGAGCTGGAGGAGGAGAGCTATCATCTCGTGGACCATTTCGATTGAGACCGCTTTGTCGTTCTTTTCATATCATAATGTCCCATTCAATTCATAAATAATTCCCCTTTTTTTTTTCTCTTTTTCTTCAGCTTCTCCGGATTTTCTTGATAAGATAAGATTCATACTCAACATACTTCGCTTATTGCTTTCTAATTTCTTCTTTTTGTAGTGTCTTTTTTTTTTTTTTTGTTTTTATGGCATGTGTCAGACCATATGCTCAAACCACTACGCCATGAATGGATTGAACAAGAACATGGAAGGTAAAATTTAAATTTCTAGGTACATTTAGTATAACATAGTAGAACAACAATTAAAACTTCAATTTCACAGACACAGCAGAATACCCTTTCAGTCCGTTTAAGTTTATTAGTAGAAATACCCTTCCGTTTCTTCTTTTGTTTCAATCCGTTTTAAGTTTATTAAGTTTATTAAGTTTTGTTTCAAGAAGTGACTGATATGTTGTACAATTTTAATTGAATTTTAATAACAATTGACCAAGCACCAAATGTCATACTCAGACAGAGAAGAATCCTCAACTGACCTGCTTTTCTCATTTTCTTTTGATTCACCTATTCTCCTCCTAGTTCTATAATCCAATGTTTCACATCTCAATAATCCGCTGTAATAGGCTATTTACATGCAACATCTTCTTGCTCTTCAACCATTCTCTTTCTTGACCAAGACAGAGAAGTATTGAATTCCATGTGAAATCATCAGGTATAATACTCTTTTGCAACATTTGTAGTAAAAGCATTACAGCCATTTGAATATCTCCCATCCTACAAAGAGCTTCGATCAATGGACTATAACTTCCTCGATCAGGAATGCAACCTCTTTCAACTATATCCTCCATTAGCTTTAAAGCACTACCAAGTTTACCATGAGTGCAAAACCCACTAATTACAGCATTGAATGTTGATGCTACCGGAAAATAACCACAGTCAACCATTTCATTCATCAGCTCAACTGCTTCTCGCACACACCCTTTTAGGCAAAATCCACGAATTAAGCAATCATAAACAAGAACACTTGGAAGCCCACCTTCCCCAGCCATCTGATTATAAACTCTCTTTGCGTCCTCAACACTGCCCTCCTCACAAAATCCCAATATTGTGAAGCTCCTATCAACATTTCTAGGAAATAAATTTTGCATCTTGGAAAGGAACTCCAATGCTTCCTCCAAACGGTTCTCCTTGTATAAACCATACAACACACTATTATAAGGACTAATATGCCCTCCCGAACCCCCCTTACTCTCCTCCATTAGCTCTAAAATCTTAAAGCCGTCTTCCATTCTCCCTGCTGAACACAGTTCTTTAATCAATGTATCATAAGTAACAAAGTTCCAACTGATCCCATCTGTCTTCATTTCATTGAACATATCCAGAGCTGAATCCAACATGCCAGACTCACAGAAACCAGAGATTAATATGTTGTATGTGTCGGCATTTGGGAGGCAGCCCTTATGCTCCATTTCCTTCAAAAGGCGCAGCCCAAGTTTCACCTTTGCTATTCTACAATAACCCTTTATCAAAGTATTATGAGCTACCACATCGACTACACCTCCCTTGCTCTCGACTCTCTCTAAAATCTCAAGGGCTTCCGCTACACGACCCACATTGGAGAGAGTTTTCAGCACTTTAGTCAGGGTGATGACATCCGGTACAAACCCCATGGTGAAGCTCTTCTCTAACAACACAAGAGCTTGAACTAAGTTTTCCTCTTTACAATAAGCAGATATCAAGACATTAAAGGTAACATCATTAGGGTCCTGCATTTCGTTCATCAAGCTTCTTGCTCTCCCAACTTTGCCATTCTTACATAGAGCGTGAATCAAAGTGTTATAGATCACAGTGTTTGGCTTTACAGGGCTGGACTTGATAACTTGCAAAAGCTTAAAAGCATCAGCAATTTTATTAGTCAAGCAAAGGCCTTTCATCAAAATCCCAAAAGTGTAATCATCACCTTGAACACCAGTTGGCATCATCTTCTTCCTATAAAAGTGCCTAGCCAAATCAATATCTTCCTTAACAAGAACGTCGAGTATTGAATTAAAAATCTTCAAAGAAGGGGTGTTGTTAAATCTAGAAGCCAAGTCAAGAACCTTGATGACATCCCGGATCATCCGGGCTCGGCCCAGGCCTCGAACAAGGGTGACAAGAATATCTTCATCTGGGGGCAAGCCTAATGAGGTAGGCATTTCGTCGAGCAGTTCCTTGACAGTGTTGAAACGGCGGAAGGCACAGAGCTTATGGATCAAAGCACGGTAGGTGGATTGAGAGTGGGTGAAATTTGGGAGCTTTGAAGCCCATTGGAAGGTTTGTAAGGCTGCTTCTGCCGAGTTCTGGTCTAGTATGAGATGGGCAATATGCTCATGACTTGGGATCCAAAGGGAAGATGAAGAAGATGAGGACGTAAATCTTGAATGAAAGCTTAACAATGATTTTAGGTGAAGATGGGTTTCTATGGATGACAAAGCTGAAAGTCTCCAACTCCAAAGTTGTGGGAGCTTCGGCATAGGACTCACTTTAGTACCGGCTAGGCGTTGTGAGAAAGTTCTCCTCTTTAGATTGATGCCTTATTGAGATTTTAAATTTCTAGATGAAAGGATAAATTTTCATGCTTTTTTTTTTGGGGAGGGGGACAAAAACAATACAATATTACAGTAGATGCATGCTATGCCATATTATATTAAGGATAGTTTCATTATTAGAGGAAAAAAAAAAACTATTGTTAAATACAGACTAGAGGTTGAACACAATTTTCAACACACTGATCCTATTCCTAGGACAAGGAGGAAGCCAAGCCAGGTGACAAGGAGGAGACTTGTAGTTTTAAACATGATAAACACTAAAAAATGACACTAACAAAATTATAAAAATTGTATTTAAAATTTTAGAAAAAATGTATTTTAATTTGGTAAAAATAAATTATTTTATTTATCATATTGATACTTCGATAAGAATAACACACAAACACAATGCAAATACAAGAATTAACTGGTCTAGAAGAGCCTTTCTCTTTGATCTTATATATTACTACTACTAGTCCAATTTTATATTTTCTCATGCTAAAAGTCAATGTGTTCCTACCTAAAGCTTTCCAAATGCAGACATTTAATCAAAGTGTAATGTAACGACAGTAGTGGCAGTATAATTAAATTTGAAACTTTTCATAGTGTTTGATCAACTTGTACCAAATGTTGTTAGTATTAAAAACAACTATTGAGAAATGAAGCATTGAATTGAAATAATATTTGAAAGTTGCAGAAATCATCCAACAAACACGTCCAAGTTTTCCCATTCAGACAATGTTTCGAACGGCTAAGACGCAGAACACAAGAGAAGTAACAAAAAACACATGTCAAACTTTTCCCATACAGACAATGTTTCGAACAACTAATACGCAGAACCCAGGTGGCCACCAAAATCAAATAGCAGTAACAAAAAGAGCATTACAGTTTTAGATTTAAGAACAGATGAAAAATCTAATCCAAGTCCTTGACCACCTTAATTCCCATAGTATTAGCAGTCCCAGTAATGGACTTGCAAATACTCTCAAGGGACATGTATTGACAATAAGGATCCGATTGCTTAATCTTCGCAATCTCGTAAATGTGTCTGACGGATAACGTGGTGGCAATCACGTGGCCTGGGCGGCTGCTCCCTGACTCAATGCCCGCTGCCTTCTTCAGGTACCATGTCACGGAGGGAGACTTCACAGTGAACTCGAAGGTGTTGTCTTTGAATGCTGTAATGGTGACGGCCATAGGGGTGTCGGGCTTGTACTTTTGGGTTCGTGCGTTGAAGTCCTTGCAGAAGGCCATCAGATTCAGGCGGTACTGCCCCAGGGCTGGACCCACAGGAGGTGCGGGTCGTGCTCCTCCTGCTGGCACAGTCAGCCTGATGGTGGCTGCCACTGGACGCCGGGTAAGGATCTCTTTCAGAGTCGACATGCTTTTGCTTTTGTTTTGATTTAGCGGTGGTTCATAGCTTTTCCGCTTTTAAGGGAAAGTGCAAGCAATTGAAGGTTATACTTGGTACTTAATAGGCCTTTGGTTTCAATGAATTAGGTTTATGGTTAAAAGTGGCCCATGTTGGACGCCTGGTAAGACTATTAGCTTTGTTTTACGGATAAAAATATAAATAGTTTATGAGCTAATTTTTTTTAATTAATGTAACTTTTCAATTTCACAAGCAAAATAACAATTTTTTTTATTATATCTAATATATATCACCTAATTAATTTTATTTGTGAAATTTATAAATAATTCTTTCTTGTAGTATGATTAGTTACCCTTCCAATATCACAAACGAACTTGAAATTCAATCCTACTTTCACTAAGTTTCAATCGGTTCAAAGTATTTATATAATAATAATAAAACATCCTAGTAGCATTACAGTCTCTGTCAGTAGCATGTAAAATTCGACTAGCCTCAATGATAACTTCAGAATGTGTAAGCTTTTACTTACTGAGGAGCTACACATAGTAAATTGTTACAAAGAAAAACAGAAGAATCCTTGCTGATGCTTTGAGCTTGCCACTGAGATCCTGAAACCAAGATCAAATTTGCTGAGGTTGCCACAACCAAAATTCAGGCAACTTATTACCAGTTTAGGACTACAACTCAAAAAATTACTGAATGAAAATCCAAAAAAACCAAGTGTATCAGATATCCAGGATGCTTGGTTCAACAAATCATCAACTCTTGCTCATACGTTGTTCAAAACACCCTTGAGGAGATCCAGCCCTTCCGCTGATATACTCCTTCTCTTATATGATCTAGGAATTTCAATCTTTGGAGGTGGGTCTGGAGAGAAACAGACCACAACAACAGTTAGATTATCACATGTGTTGCGTTGTAGTGCCTCCTTGACAAGTGCTCTAGAGCACCTTTCAGGATCATTATACTGCATCAGCTCCTTCCGCACCATTGTAACCGCGCATTGGCTACTCATCACATCCCAAAGGCCATCGCAGCCCATTATCAAAAATTCATCTTCATCAGTCAGTAAAATTTCTTCCAACTCTGGCTCACAGCTTAAGGGGCTTTTTGAACCTTTAGAGCCCTTAATATGCCAGTCTCCAAGAGCACGTGCTACTGAAAGCTGACCATTGAGGTAGCCATCATATATGACACCACCTAGTTTCTCAATTCTTAATCTTTCAGAGGTACAATTGGGTTTGTGGTCTTTAGACAGCTCGATTGCTCTTCCTCGTTTACCTAATACAGCTCGAGAATCCCCAGCGTTAGCAATGAGCATGGTCCTGACAGAAACAGTCACAGGTAAAATCATTTCAAGACAATAATAATAGACAAAAGGAAGCCATACTTTGTCATATCAGTGTCAAACTGCAGAATGCATGAAGATCTACCTTAAAATAAGAAGTAAATGTTAGCATTAAGATTTAAGTTTCTTACCTTCCCAAAATGAGAGCAGTCAAAGCAGTGGTACCAGAGGATCTATCGAGAGATTTAGCATCTGCAAGTGCATGATCAGCCTTGAGAAAAGCACTCTTAACAGCCTTTTTCGTTCCAGCTGCAAAATTGGAATCTTCAACAATAAACTTGAGAATGTTCTTTCTGGTAAAGGATGCAGCATCAAGGCCACCATGTCCATCAAATACCTAGAGAAAAAAACACAAGCTCAGTGCATTGCATCAATGAACCGTTCTTTCTATGTTTAAAAATGATCTACAGCTGGATAAAATCTGATATTATGCAACTGGTTTTTGAAACAGTCGTCGTAAGGTGACTGATACGTGGACAAAATTCTTGGCAATCGCAATTGCAGAATGAATAGATTTCAACTATTGTGCACCAGAAATTCTACTCATAAAATTGTTCCACTCAAGAGGGAAATTACAAAGAACAATCCGCTTAATGAATTTAAGTATTCTAACCTAACAAAAGTTACACACCCCATAAAATGCTCCTGGGGAAGGGAAGTTTGCAGCCGAACCAAGATATTGAAAGAGATTATCAACACATATAAACTCATCCTCCATATACTGTTTTGGACCTTTCTCAGAACAGCTTCCTGAACGAAACACAGGTAAAAAGCCACAATTCTCACTTAATGATGGTGCCTTCAAGCCCAAAGCACCCATATCTGATTCCTACACCAACGAGAAAAGAGAACTGTTTTACATGAATAGAATATGTTAAAACTTTTGCTGCATCAGCTTAAGTGCCAATGGAATGGACTGGGGATGGGTAAAGTTTTTATTTCAAATTTACCTCAAAACCACCTTAGGATCATGTAGACGGACACAGTAGGGGCAGATCAAAAAGAGGTTAATAACTCATAAAGAATCCCATGAAACAAAAGCATCAATTTCAGGAAACACCGAAAATATACTATAGCAAAAAGCACAATCTTTAATAACCAAGCTGGAATCATCAAAAAAAACTTTTACATCGACGAGCTTTGCAATGCAATTCTTTGCATTTTTGCAAGAACTTGCGAGCTTGGTTTAGTCCAAATATAGTGCATAACTGCACAACATTAAGGACGGGAGAAAATCAATATGGTAGTGTACCAAATGAAGTTCATATTTTGGTTCTATAATAGAAAAAAAGGTGATGTTTTGGAAATTGAACTCGATTGGATGAGGTATTTTTCCCACAAATTTATGTTAATGTAAATTCACATTTACAGATTAATCTGATTATACGGCCCAATTATTGGAGAAGGGCAAGCCATAGAAACAGAAACAATCCATAATCCATCATTTGATGACATGAACATCATTCCTAGACGGTGAAAAGCAAAAAGGCTGCATTAGAATGCCGAAAGAGCAGAAAAGACTAACCCGTGTGGTTATCCAAGCAGAGCTGGTGCAATGGCGCATAGCAGAGAGGTTTCTTGGAGGTTTGGCGGCGTTGGTTTGGTTCATATTCTCCAATGTGTCTTCATTTTCATCCTCCATTGAATTGAAACTGCCCTTGAAGCTTCCACCTTCTAGTCTTGTTGTACGTGGAGATACATCTGTCGCTGGAGCCATTGATCTTCCTCCATAGCCCACAAGATGATAATAATAATAATAATAATAATAATAAAAGATTTTTTCAGAGAATAAAAAAAACCAGATTAGATAAACAGACAGCTCATATTTGGTATGAACCAACTGCCCAAACGGTAAAGCTCTTGATCCAAGATTCAATTAAAATTCACTTCAACCCAGACGTATGGTATGAAAAGAAGGCTGTGCTTTTGAAAGCTGCAAACTTTATTCGAATGTGTGAGACCATTGAAAAGTTGGGTACACTATCTCTGTGTGATTATGAAGAAAGTATGAGACGAAACGATTCAACCAAACAAAAAGCTTAGAATTTATGTATTAGTAGTAATAAACGAAGAAGAAGAAATGCAAAACCAAAGCATGGTAGTAGGAAAGGGAAAGGGAGGACCGTTTAGAGAGAGAAGAAACAAAAGTCTGTTATATATGTTATGGGGTTGCAGGTTTTCCGCACTATATTATAGCGCTTGAAGGGGGGTTGGCTTTTTGACACGTGACTCATTTCCCTATGGTTGACCGCTTGCCAATCATTTCTTTTCCCGTGGATTTGTTCACTTGGATTAGTTTCAGCATCAATCAACTCTCTCACCTCATTCTTTTCTCTTCAATTCCGATGAGTGATCCATGTTCAACCCAATAAGCTCCACCCTAAAGAGTTCGAGTTAAAATATGCAACGCAATGAGGCCAGTGAGTGTATGAACGTCATGGGCTTTTGAAATTTGCTTTGAACAGAAAATTAAGGAAGAATCAAGCCATGCCTTCATTTTTATCAAAAAAAGGAAAATGTTTAATAATGGTCATGGATGCTACATAGAAGGATTTAGAGAATCAATGGGATGATGAGAAAAATCACAAATTAAGGCATTAAGTGGATTACACTTCATCAATAAATTCTGAGAAATAAAATCGCATATCAAGGTCAATATGTTAGCCGGATGTCGTTAATAGTTGGCGTGGCTAAATATAATTAGCCAATGACAGCATTCCCATAACCTAAATTAATTAAATTGAATGGTAATTATTGATTGAACAAAAAAAAACAATGGTAACTATGCGTGCACTGTGCTGGACAAGAGATGGATTCTCCCAGCGATCAGAAATAATCTTGGAGACATAGAGTGACAACATGAGATTGACGTTCACTAGCCACTGATGATGGGATTGGGAATACCTCATCAGCAACCATTCAAACAACTAAAGCCAATTGCCTAAAGATTTAGAAACTAGTCATTGTGTCTATATATACTGTTTTTGGCGTAATAGGTATACTATTTCCAGCTATTCTGTGTCTGATAAATTAAATTCCATTGGATACCATAGTGATGCCTTATATGTACTACTGGTACTAATCAAAAGTTAGTCTTTGAGTTCGGTTCAGTCTTCAGACACAGCATAAGATTAAATACAGAGGCTTCCTAGGCTTCTGCAGAGATAACTATACTGCTGCAAAACAGGCAGTGAAATATTATTTGTTGAGATTCATATAGGCTATCATGGGGCTATTTAGAAAATGATGAAGTTGATAATTGAAGGTACGATACGAGTATAAAGTGGTACAGCAGTTTACCTCTGCAAATTATTGGCTTGGATTAACTAATGAATTATATATGATGCTTCAAGTCTGTTCCACACTAATAAAACGAATGGTAGCTAAAAAGTTATGGCTTTTTCATTGTCCTGTGATTGATATTATGCGCAAAAATACAAAGGATCCATCAAACAGTTAAAAGCATGATTTAGTTGTTGTCAAATGCCAATGGAGCCTGATTAGGTTTTCTTTTTCTTTTCTCTCTTTTTTCCTTTGGCCAGAAGTAAAAACCAAAAGTACCAATTATCAATATGTAGTTTCTATACGTAAACTAATTAAAGGTCATTAATTTGACATTAATCATTTCTTCATTTAGTCCATTCTAGCGTCTGAAAACTTCCTGTTAATAGGTTTATCATTTATGTACTTCATATGATTATGGACTTTCTGAAATATTTTTGTTCCTTTTAGTTTTAACGACAATCTTTGGATATATTTACACACAGTTCTTGTTCTTCATTTTTCTTTTTTATTTCCTGTCAAAGTTATAACTTGTTGGTTTCTGGTCATTGAGCACAACAAATCTGGTGCTTGCAATTTTTTATGATACCCTTTGGCCTACATAATGTGATGTTTGAAAATTTTGATAGCTTTAATTATTAATTTGGCTTACATGGGTTTTTTTTCTTTAGTTGTGCATTATACTTATTGTGAGGAACAGTAGAGTAGATATGAATGTTATTCAACTGAATATTAAACGCATAATTCTGGGGAATTTCTTCACGTAATTGAAGAAAATATGTTCTGCTATTCTCTCCAACATGCTAGTTTGCATCAGTTTAGGGATAGAGCCTAGTAGTATGAGTTTGATCAAGGATTTTCCATTCACAATCTCTATTTTCATCTTTCAACAGTTTTTCATATTTCTTGGTTTCAGATATATGATTCCATGTCCTCAGATAATGATATTTGAGACTGCCACATGCATTCATCTGATATTTGATTTCATGTTCTTATCTTTCTTCTCTTAACTGTATACTAAAAAATAAAAATCATCTCATGTATTATATTCCATTGCCTATTTTTAAGAAATCTTTGTGTCTGCCTGCCTTTCTTTCCTGATTATTCTTTAGGAAGCTATTTGCCATTATACCTTATACTCCATTTCTTCTATCTATTTGACTAAATTATTTCTGCTAAATGCAGATTCGTTTTGAACCTTGATATAGTTTGAGCGATTAAGCAGATCACAATGAGCGAAGTTTGGCTTCTGGTTTTTGTGCTTTTCAACGATGACCCTTTTCTGTTTGGGAACAGTGTCAATGTTGGGAACATTGGAGCTATTTTCTCCTTCAACTCTACTGTTGGTAAAGTTGCAAAAGTTGCCATAGAAGCTGCTGTGGATGATGTGAATTCTGAACCAGCTATCCTCAACGGAACTAAACTGAAGCTTACAATACAGGACACAAACTATAGTGGATTCCTGGGCATCGTTGAAGGTAAGTCCTTTTACAAAGATTTTCAGTCATACACTGTATGTTTGCATATTTTTCAGTCATATCCTCTCAGGCTTTAATTTTGATACTCATTACAGCTTTAAAGTTAATGGCAAATGAAAGATTGGCTGTAGTTGGTCCGCAGTTTTCTGTAACGGCTCATATTGTTTCTAATATCGCAAATGAGCTTCGTGTCCCTCTACTATCATTCGCAGCAACAGACCCCACTCTGTCTTCCCTTCAGTACCCCTTCTTTGTCAGGACAACACAGAGTGATCTCTTTCAAATGACTGCAATAGCAGATATTTAGAGTACTATGAATGGAGAAATGTAATAGCTATCAACGTTGATGATGACCACGGGAGAAATGGCATCTCTATACTCGGAGATAAACTGGCAGAGGGCCGTGCTAAGATCTCATACAAGGCACCTATGAGCCCTAGTGCGGATTGGTCTGAAATCACCAATGTACTAGTTAAAGTGGCTTTAATGGAGTCTAGAATTCTTTTTTTTTTTTCATACTTACGTTGATTGGGGACTAGAAGGGCTTGACGTGGCTGAACATCGTGGTATGCTGGGATCAGGCTATGTTTGGATTGTTAGTGATTGGCTTTCCACACTCCTAGATACCTACTCTCTTCTTTCTTCAAAGTCAATAGATAACATTCAAGGAGTTGTTACACAGCGCATGCATACGCCAGATTCAAAACTAAAAACGAATCTTGGCTCTAGTTGGCGCAACTTGACTAGTAGAAAGGCAAGCAATGGCCCTTTCGGGTTGAGCACTTATGGTCTTTATCCTATGACACCGTTTGTCTGTTGGCTAATGCAATAGAAAAATTCTTCAATCAAGGGGGAAATATCTCGTTTTCAAATGATTCTAGGTTGACTCACCTTGGTGGAGGAAAATTGCACATTGATGCCATAAGCATCTTTGATGGAGGTAATTTGTTGCTCCAGAGCATTTTAGAGGTTAACATGAAAGGGGTGACAGGCCCCTTCAAGTTTACTTCAGATGGTTACCTCATTCATCCTGCATATCATGTGATCAATGTTGTTGGAAATGGGTATAGGAGAATCGGTTGTTGGTCTAATTATTCAGGATTATCCATTGTGCTGCCAGAAATACTTTACACCACGACACCTAATGATTCCAGCTCGACCCAACAACTATATGACGTAATCTGGCCTAACCAAACAACACAGAAGCCACGCGGCTGGATTTTCTCAAACGGAAGGGAATTGAGAATTGGAGTCCCTAATCGAGTGATTTATCGTGAGTTTGTGTCATTAGTGCAAGGTCCGGACACCTTTGGTGGCTTCTGCATTGATGTCTTCACTGCAGCCTTGAAGTTCTTGATCTATGCTGTTCCATATAAGTTGATTCCATTTGGCGATGGTCATAACAACCCCAAAGTCGGTGACCTTGTGCGCCTGCTTTCAGCTGGTGTGAGGGACGACTTCAAAACTTGTTGAAGCACGCTAGACTTTTTTGCCATCTCCCCTGATTTGTTGGCTATCTTTGTTCCCTACAGGTTTATGATGCTGCAGTGGGCGACCTTGCCATCACCACAAATCGAACAAGGATGGTAGATTTTACACAGACATACATTGAATCTGGTTTAGTCGTTGTGGCACCAGTCAGGGAGCAAAATTCAAATGCATGGGCCTTTCTGGGACCTTTCACTCCAATGATGTGGTGCATTACAGGAATATTTTTCCTTCTTGTGGGAGTGGTTGTTTGGGTATTGGAACATAGGATAGATGATGATTTCCGGGGCCCTCCCAAGAGACAGATCGTCACTATCCTATGGTGAATGCCTTAATACATAATGCTAATCATTTTATGAGAATTTCCTCACTCTTATCATTAATCATTTAAATGGAGTCAACTTCCTAAGAAGATTGTGCAAAATTATCAGGCAATCTTTGCCCTTGTCTATGTAAAAGCTGGCAAGCA